TCTCACCCCACTCCCCACGTTGTGTTCAGAAGCCTGGGCGCTTACATTCCAGCCAGTGTCCGGAATTGACTAGCGCCTTTTCTCAAGGTCAGGATGTTCTGACCCCTGACATCAAAGCCGCATACAGCATCCTTCTGTGCGCCTGGCCCAAAGAAACCCGAGGGCCCATTTTGTTTCCTGGCCCAGGGCCTGAAAGACTTTTTGGTTGGCCCCAGCCTTGGAATATGAAATCCCAAGGAAAGCTGAAACCGTGCCACGGTTGTCTTTGGAATGTGTGATTTTTCTGGTCGTCACAGTTTTAAGCCCTGCTCTTGTCCCCAGTCTTGCACACCTCTAATAACCGGAATCACGTATGTGTCCGCCGTAGACACCAGTCCTATCCCTGCTCTCTCAGCTCATTCTCTGCCTCTCCCCGTTATCCTGCGTTTGCTCATCTCCACGCTTCCGCGCTCGCTCGCCCTTTAGAAGTGAGATGACCTCACTTCTTTCTATCTGTAGAACTCCTCTTGTCCTATAGAGGAATCAATCGCAGGCACCATCTGCTCCCCACAAACCTCCTCCTTTGCAAGAGATTCCGTTGTGTTAACCTGCACCAGGTAGCTAGCTGTGAGGCAGCTGAGTGCCCGTGACCGTGCTTACAAGTACAAGATCCGGGCTCGGCTCCTGACTGTGGTACTTCCTAGCTGCGAGGTGAAGCGTGTCGGAAACACACGACTGACTTTCTTTTTCTTTAGATGGGCGTGAATAAGTGATCACCCCATGTCATAGTATGTTCTGGCACTTGTGCCCTGGTCCGTGTTTCTTCCTCAGCTTTTGTACTTACATGTGTCATATCTCTCTCCTTTTCTATGGAGCTGTTTAAGGGCAGAGAGAGAGAGAGTTTCATTGTCCTGGGTCTGTGGATGTACGGAATTGCTGCCAGGGCCCCTTTTAAAGGAATGAGCAATTCCATACATCCTAATTGGTCTCATCTGGTTCGAGCATCATTAACTGAAGGTTCCACTTTGTTGTGCTAGGCCGGCCAGGAAGGGGCTTTCTCTTGTGGGATTCTCAGCACACATAGGGATGGGTCAGATGGGATCCTGCTAGAGCTTGTCTCAGCCTCCTGGGTGCTCAGACTGCTGGCTGTCCCTCATGGCAGAGTGGGGATCTTGTGATTTAGTTTCTTTCCTGTAAAAGTTGCTGAGTTAGAAGGAAGGGACAGTGGAGCTGTGGATTAGAGTCCACTCAAAAGCCACCCCCCCACCGGGAACTCCCTTACATGCTCATAGCTTGCTGTTGAGGAAGGCTGGCTATGGAAGGGAATCCTTTATTAAAATGGTGGTTCAGCCGTTTAGCTTTTTCTCGTATCATTCCCTCAAAATCGACAGCCACCATGAATTCAAGTAATTTGGGTCAGGATACCAAGTCCTCCGTGTTCTGTCTGTAACACCCTCTCTAGCTTCCTGTCCCTCCATGCCCCATTAATTCTGTGCTGCTGGCCTCACTGGGGTTTCTGAGAATACCCTGGGCTCATCCTCGACGCCCGTGCCCATTGATTCCCTGTGCCCATTCCGCGGTCCTCTTGGATTTTCAGGCTTAACTTGAAAAGTCGCAGCCTCTGCAGAGACCTTTGAGACCCCGAGCAGCAAAATATGGCATGGGCTTGCTTACACAGCCTTTCTCCCAGTCTTGGGTGTTCCAGCATTCCCACAGGGAGGCTGTGAGTTCTTTGGAGAGTCTGGACACATTTCAGCACCAATGCCTGCCTGCTTGGCCCACCCTGCTTTATCAAAACCCGACTACTGGTAAACAGCTGTTTTCTGTACCCTGACTGCGGGGAATGTGCCACCACGTCAGCTAACAGCTGTCCCAGGGGGGACTCAGAAGTCAATACCAGGGTTACTCGGGATTTGTTTGATCAAGAGCACAGCGATTTGCAATCTGTTTTAGAATTGATCTGATGGTATTTCATGACTATCCTTTCTCAGGCTTCTTCTGGACATCTATAGATCTCTGATTAATGCCAGGTCTCTGAGCTTTTTACTTAAAGAGCTTAACAAAGTAGAATAGACAACAGATTTGCAGGTTTCTTACATGAACATTAAAAAAAAAAACAGCCATTATTTTTATACCAAAGCAATTCGAAGTGTGAAAATGGCAGTTTTTTTTTAAAGGTATATTTCTGCCCCGAGAAGAAGAATAAATGTCCATATTCTATTTGTGACTATAATTAATAAAACCCTTGTCACAGAGCTTGGTTTTGAAGACTTTGGTTTAAGACTGGTACTGTTAGTCCCCAAATCTTTGATGTATATTTCAATCTTCAGGTTCCTCTGTGTATAAGTAGAAACTCCTTCTCAGTGTTGATAGAGTTTAAATAAGATTTTGCATGTGAAGCTGATTAATGTGTGATTAAGAATTAGGTTTGGAAATATTTTTGAAAGTATCATTTTTAAACAGTTTGCATTAGAAAGAAAATACATGTCAACTCTTCCTGTGTTTTATTTTTGAAAATGATAACATAATGAATTTACTTTGAAGGAATATCACATATCTTAGAGAACACAACTGATTTATATTAAGCTTTTCATCCAAATACTTTATATCTTAGATCCGTGGTTGTTGAGAAGTTATAAAAACATTGGAAAGAGGTGAACATGCATTAATGTGCAGTGTGTGGTCTCTATATTACATATGCTGGATGCTGAATTCCAGGAAATAGTCGTCCACACCCTGAAGGGCAGGTAGTATTGGCCCTGTTTTGTTGACAGGAAACTTGAGCTTGGAGAGGTTAACATCCTTTACAGAAGCCCTGGATTTGAAATTGTGCTCCCGATGGCTTTTAGAAACTCTTCTATTTACACACGTGCCATGGCCAGTCTGGCTTTGTTTGCTCTCTCTGTCCTCTTTCCCCATGGCAGCTTCTGATTTAGGGCCAGATAAAGCAATAGCAATCTGCAGTCGTGAAGTCCCTTAGACTGTGAGGAGTCGAGATGAGTTTCTTGGCTTTCGTTGCCGAGAATGCGCTTTCTCCCTGCTTCTTTGAACTCCTTCTTCAGTTTTTACCTCTCTCCCTCTCTTTTGGGGAGACTTTTGCCATTTCCACTTGGGAAGCCAGGAGACTATGTGAAGAGGGCTCCATGTTTATTTTTAAAGCATGTAAGTGGCAAATCAAATTCATTAGTATTTCTCACCGTCTTCTGGAACCTACAGACCCCGTGGGAAAAAGATGTCCAATGGCTGGAAATTGGGAGCTGTGAGGTCTCCCTTGATAGAGGGTTTCAGACTGATCCCTCCTTTCACTCCCAGAGCCTTGGTGTATTTATCTGGCAAGAGTGTGGGCACTTTTGTTGATTTCTAAGGCTTTAAAATTCTACATTTCTTGAGGTCTCAGCCGTCAATTTCTGCTGAGCTGCATACTCCTGCAGCTGTTTCTGTGATACTTTTCAATCTTTACATTTAATCTATTCAACAATGTATAATTTTTTTAAAGGGAAGCTCTTATAGACACTTCTGAAATATAAGGGTGGAGCGAATAAAAGGATGTTAAAAAATAGAAAACAACCAATTAAATAGTATATAGCATATAATTCTCCTTGGAAACTTACTGCGAAATTGAGGAGCACTTTAACAACTGGTAATTTAAATTGCATTTGAACTCTGCTAATGGTTTGTTTGCATGGGAACTTCAATCATTTCGCAGCAGTTCTTTAGCAAAGCTGCTTGTTCTCTTTATGGCAAAGAAGGAGAAAATTATTAAAAGAGAAGTTGACTATAGGAAAGGGAGGCCACTTACCCTGGCACACAGAGGAAAGCTGGAGAGAGGATGGGACTCTCCCGGGGCCAAGGGGCAGAGCTGCGTCTTTTATAGAGGCTTAGACCTCTGGGGAGTCAGAAGTCCTTTTGCTTCTCATAGAAACTGTTTTGTGTTTCTCTCCCCCAGTCCTTGCTCTGCATAAGGGAGTTTGGATTTTATGGGGTTTTGGGTTGGGGTATCTTTTTTTTTTTTTCTATCAGATTGCACTGTCCGTAGCAATCAGTGTGTCAGCAAATTTGAAGTTGTAGCTCTGGTAAAAATGACTTTTGAGATTTCTGATAATTCTCAGGTCCTCAAACTCTCAGGAATGAACTGCTTCAAGTGGGCTCATCTTGAGTGAACTCCATTTTCCTTACGGAATTTCTTTTTGTTATTGGGTAAACTTGAGTGTATGAGAACACAAGGCAGGTCCCTGTCCTCGTTAGTCTGTGTTAAAGATGGACAGTCACTAGCTGTAGTGGAGGAAGCCCTGAATCCCTGTCACTAGTGATGGTTTCTTGGATGGCCACTTCCCTCTCCTGGTGCCTGGCTCTCTTGTTGTAGAAGAATTGGGGAAGTCATTGAAGGTCCCCCCCCCCCCCAACTCTTAAGCTTATACACAGATGGGAAGACTGATATCAGGGTCATGGAGCAATTATATGATTGGTTAGAAATGCTCAAAGATATTATGGGAATGAGGGTGGAGTTTTTCTGGTTTGTGTGTTTCTATTCCCTGTACCATGGGCAAGTTTTATATAGTTCACTCCTGGAATAGATGCCGTATAATCCCAAGAAAAGAGCCATAGTTTTCAAAGGTCTAAGTCTGCATTGAGGACTTACCAAGGAGTACTGAGATTTTGCAGCTCTCTGTGTCCCACTGGTTCTCATTGTACATGTAAGGAAATTGAAATTCAGAGGGCCACTAAGTCGTATTCTTTTCTTCCTTAATTGCGTCCTTTTGATCTGTCTTGTACTTCAGCAACTCAGATGAATCGGTTTTCCAGGGTGCTGAGATATGAAGAGTGAGAGCATTCTCTTCTCCCTTCCTTTGAGACAAACTTATCAAGCAAGAGTGCCTGGTACCTACTGGAGGTTTGGGAGGTCTAGAAGAGTTAGACATCACCCAGGAGGGTTTAATCAGAGACATTGATTGTCGGTCTAGGAAGTTCTGAAGCTGGTCAGAGCTGAGAGACTCAAACATTGTGCTCTCTGTTTTCCACAGGTGGGAACTCAAGGACAGAAGCAGAGAGAATCTGTCAGCTGGTTCTGCATTTGCCATTGTTCTCTATTCCCTCAGTGGAGGGGAGCTATTTTCCCTCAGCTGGTGAGTCCTACACAGAAATATCTTCTTTTTATATATATATATTTATATATATAAAGATAAATATTAAAGAATATATATATATTCTTTAATCAGATTTAAAAAAAATAATGGGTGCTGGAAACAAGAATGGAGAACTGAGAAGTCTAAAGTCTTTATCATCATTATTATTATTTTTGAATTGGTTTCATGGCAACGGACTATAGATATACCAGTGCCAGTAAAACACATGGCAAACCAAAGATGGGCTTCTCCTCTGGCCAGGGGGCACGCAGAGAAACTGGAGGAAGACTCAGTGACAACGAATCCCTGTCACCAGTAGCTGTGTGGCTCCCTTCTTTTTCCTTTGTCAGGAGGTTGAGTGTCACTGAACTTGAGACACTGACGTGACGAGGACAGGGAATAATCCGATGCTTCTTGTTTACTCCTGCGTAATGTGCCTTTTCCTTTGGCGACCTCATTTTATTTTCCCATCAACCTTTGGCGGCAGAGAGGGCTAACTTAGCCTTGGCGGAACGTGGGAGCCTTTGCGTTCATGACCGGCTAGAGCCACAGTGCTAGTTGAGTGTGGATTTTGTTGCTGTCTGTTGGGAAGGAGAACGGAGGTCAGATGCGTCGCCCTGCAGTGGCTCTCTGTTTCATAGGTAGATAGGTAGGATGGCTATGGCACAAAGAATCATCTGCATGGTGTGACCTGGTGGTGCCTTGGTGACAAGCTGAGGGAAAGGAGTTGGGGGATTCTTGCATCTACTGACTCTAGTTCTGTGGTCTCCATGATGAGGATCAGTCTCTATGTACTGCAAGGATTGGCCTTAAACTAGGTAAATAATAGACCTCACTGTAGCAGGAATCTTAAAAGTTCTTATTAATACAAACAAACCTGGAGCCAAGTATTGGGGTGAACTGGAAGATCAGAGAGACAGAACAAGCCATAGCTAACCTCACCTGGCCAACTTCTCAGCTGATCTTGTTTCCTCAGACTGGAAGCCTCTGTGTCCTCATATCTGAATGGCTCTCAGCTGAACTGTGCTGCTCAAAACCTAAAAGCTTAACCAGCCAAATGCTTCTAGTTTCTGGTCCTCACACCTTATATACCTTTCTGCTTTCTACCACCACTCCCTGGGATTAAAGGCTCGCTTTCTGAGATTAAAGGCGTGAGTCCCCGTGTTTGGCTGTATCCTTGAACACATGGATTTCTGCCTCTGGAATGCCAGGATTAAAGGAGTGTGCTACCACTGCCTAACCTTTATGTTTAACAGTGTGGCTGTTCGGTCTCTGACCCCAGATAAGTTTATTAGGGTGCACAGTATTTTGGGGAATACAATACCACCACACCTCACTATGAGTGTTGTGGAGTTTTTCAGAACACAGTGAATGCTGTAGTGATTGGAAAAAACCCAACTTGCTCTGAAAGTGTGACTGACTTCATCCTTGTGTCTGGTCATTTTGTTTTCTTCATTGTTGTCTCTGTAGTGTGGGTAACTGGTACTCATTGGCTTTGACTTTGAGTATTTATTAAAATCTCAAACATGGTCTTGCATATCCCCCCGCCCCAGGTTATGGTTACAGCATCAATGGGAAGCTTTGTTACCTGCTTCACCTTTTGAGTTTCTCAGGGTTTCAAATGAAATGGTGGGAGCCTTGAACTTGGATTTAATGAACTCCAACGGTGTAATGGCAGAACAGGAAAGATTGCCAAATGAGTCAGCTGGAAGAGGCTTGGAAGGTTCTATTGTCCTTAGATTGTTAGGATTTCGACGGTGACTCTTGCTTCTGAAGCAATGACGTGGCCTTGGCATAGGTTATTTAGAACAAGGTGGAAGGGTGACCTTGCAGTGACGGAAGACCTGGTTCAGAGGGAGGTGGCTTCAGTCTCACCTTGAGCAGGGCACCAGCTTGGATGGATGCTCTGCAGTCTTCTTTGCTCTGTCCCTTTGGGTTGCTGGCTTCATCACCCTCAAGGTATTTGCCTTCTGGTTAGGAGATAGCTGCCCATTGACCAAGCTGAAGACATCTGCTTCCCTGATTGGACGAGAGAGAGCCTTGTTGCCACATTCACATAGGCTTTGGTTACTCCCCAGTGATGAACCTGTCACTGAGGCCCAAAGGAGGGGACTGTGCTACTTGGAATATCCACACCAGAGACTAACACTCAAACCTCATGGCAGAGCACAGATGAAGTGGCTCCTCAGAGCATTTATACTATTGGGGAGAAAGGACGAGAAGCCTTGCTCTCAGCCCTCATTAGAGTGTCATGCTTCAGTTGGCTGGAGTCCTCTTCTGGGAGGGATGTGAGCCAGCAACTCCACAAAGATACCGAGAGGCTGTGCCATCAAGAGCTGCTTATAAGAGTGAGTTTGGAAAAGGCAGAATGCTGGGTCATACGCAATCTTGACCTGCAAGAATTTATTACCCATGGGGCTGGAGTGATGGCTAAGCGGTTAAGAGTACTGACTGCTCTTCTAGAGGACTCCAGTTCAATTCCCAGCACCCACATGGCAGCTCACAACTGTCTGTAACTCCAAGATCTGACACCCTCACACAGACATCCATGCAGTCAAAACACCTGTGCACATAAAATAAAAATAAATTGCTTTTTGACAAAATAAAAAATATATACCTAGTCAGAAGAAGGACAGTGTCTGCCTGTGTCCCATAGTATAGTGGGATGTTTGGTGCCTAAAAGGCACATGACACATTTTGGGGGATAGAAGAATAAATCTGAAGGTTGTGAGGGTCCCTTTCCCCAAGGCTGCTCTACCCGGTACTGACTGAATCTCTTGGGGTTGTTGTATACAGATAGGGCTGGACAGCATGATTTGATAAGGGTTAAACAAATGACTGTACGGAAACAGGCTTTTGAGAATGGTGTGGCTTCAGACACTTACTGTGAGTGCATGCAAAGGTAGAGTATGGCAGGATGAGCTAACAGAAAGCCTGCCAATTGTTAGCCTCTCTTTGCCTTCATTTTCTAAATCCCAGAATTTGAGGTCACATTGATTGTCTTACCGGCCTCTTTCATTTGTTTTGTGCAAGTCTGTTGGTAGTAATTTATCAAGTGTGGTCCCTTTATAGGTTATTGTAATTGGTTTCTCCTTCAAGATTCGCAATGAATTAAAATGGAAGTAAGAGACTGTAAAGGTTGAGTCCAGCATGGTGCCTAGGACATAGTACTTATGCTTGGCATTCACCCTTCTCCACACCCAGGCCCTCTCCTTGCCAAGACTAGATGAGCAGTAACTTGGTCTGAGTCTTGGAAAGAAACTCAATTTGGAGCTTTTTTTAATCATTAAAGCTGAAGCCTAAATCAGGAAGAGGTGCCAGGAGGTAGATGCAGAGACCTAGGAAATTGAGTACTTGAGAGACCAAGAGAAGCTGTAGTCTAGCCTGTGGGATTCTTGCTTTGTTTGTTCACATAATCACACCTTCTGCCCCAAGCATGCCTGGCCCAGTGGGAGTCAGGAAGGAAATTATTTCCCTCTTTGGATATCAGCGTACAATTGTTGTAGCCAAGGACTCTGAGTTTTAATATTTCCGTTTTGGTCTTAAGAACTACCAGGTATTAGTGTCTGCCGGAAGCAAAACATTGGTCCTTTCTGTTAGAGGTTTATGTCTTGGCTCCCTGCGGTTACTTGGCCAGGTGGCTTCTGAGCATTTGTCGCCATCTGCTAAGCCAGGTTTCATTTATATTTACTTGTTCCACAAATTACAAGAGGACTTACTGAGTGTGAACCAAGGCCCACACAGTCTCCCAGAGTCTGTGGGACTTCATGTAACACAGGGCCATCTTATAGGAGATAGGATTGAAGAAAAGGTAGAGAAATCTCTTCAGCCTTTCCCCTAGGTCTACAGTATTGTTTCTTGGCTTCTGATGGGGTAGGGATGCCTCTTTCTTTTGCTTGCCATAGACTGAGGCGCTCAGGGTTGTTTCTAAGAGTTCTTTCTCATTGGGTTACTGTGTGGTTGAAGGTGTCTGAATCCTGCACAGATGAGTGGAAGATCCCTTGTCCTGTTGCTGTACAACCACTCCTGGTTATAGTGTCTGTAGTTGTTTTCTTCCCTGAGTCTGGTATTTGTCAGAAAGGTAGCAACTCCCGAGTTTTCTTTTCCTTCCCCCAGTGGAGTCCTAGAGATTGAACCCATGGCTTTATATGTGAGAAGCAAGCTGTCTGGCACTGAACTACATGTGCAGCCCAGTCTTAGACTCCTCAGGGTATTATGGCAAGTTAGGCACACTCTGATCTCTAGAAGCTTGAAACTTTGAGGAAAGATGCATAGAGAAGAGACTCACACACAATGGGAAGAGATGCATAGAGAAGATGATCACACACAATGGGAAGAGATGTATAGAGAAGATGATCACAC